CTCAGGCAATCCTCTCGCCTCCACCTCCCAAAGTGCTGGGATTACAGGCGTGAGCCACTATGCCCAGCTTCCTCTTCTATTAAATGGGGTAATTAATAATAATATCCAACTCACAGAGTTGTTGGGAGAATCAATGAGGCAATATAATATGCAGTGTCTTTCACATGCTAGCCATTCAGTAAGAGAGCACTACACAGAAAGTAACCAAAGCCTGAAGGACTGGCAGAGCAGAGTAGGGCCAAGCAGCCAGGCTCCTGCCTTGGAGCATGTATGTAAGTGCCCCCATGGAGTCCTCTGTGACACCAGTGGTCCCATGGGCAAGCTACTGAACACCCACTGTGTTCTAGGTAGTATCTTTGGAGCCTGGGGATAGAGAGGGGAAAGCCTTGATTTTTACTTCAGAGAGCTCACCATACAGAAGACATAAAGGAAACCAGATTGCCAGAACAGAGAGCAGTATGTACACCGGTCAGCATAAGTAAAAGGAACAGAACAGGCACGCTGGTAGAAGCACTGAGCTGTTGGGGGAAAGCTGACAAGGTTGATCTGAGCAGGTACACAGGAAATGAGGTACCATGGTCTCATCTAGAAGGGGAAATGTATTTCAAATAGAGGGGACACTGGGGACCAAGGTATGGAGTTGCAAAACAACATGCATGTTTAGGGAAGTCCTGGTGGCTTAGCATGTCTAGTGTGAGGGAGGGCGGGTTGGAGATGTGGCTGGAGATCACCAAAGGGTTTTAGTTACCCTCTAGGGAGTGTGAGTTTTTATCTTGTGGTTACCAAGGTCTTCTGGAAGGGTTTTAGGCATATGAGTAACATGGCTCAACTGTCAGGCACCAGTACCTCCTTAGCCCACCCCATCTCTGCCAGGAGCCCAGGCCCTCTTTCCACAGAGAAGGAACACACCCACCTCTAGCCATATACTGGCAGTGGTGCAAAGCACAGATGTGAGAGGGAAGGATGGAGGAATGGATATTGCTGAGCTACAGTGGGGGCAAGGCAGTGCTGCCATAGGATTCCCCATTACCTGAAACAGACCCTCCTCAGAGGGCTGCAGCGATTCCCACTCAGGAGAGTCCATGAACTGGTATGGAAAGATGTAGTGCAGAAACTGCCCATCCTGGCTGACACGAACCCTGGCCAGAAGAGAAAAGAGACTACATGGGAAAAAGGAAATGGCTGCCCAAACTACCAGATTTATGTGTTGCCGATTAACCTGAATGTTCCAGTAGAAATACCTTGTCTATAACATGGTAGAACCCAAAGAAAGAATAGCCTGAATACTGTGTGGAAGCAGTTTATTATTATTATTTTATTTATTTGAATCAAAGTCTCACTCTATCGCCCAGGCTGGAGTACGGTGACACAATCATGGTCACCGCAGTCTCGACCTGCTGGGCTCAGGTGATCCTTCTGCCTCAGCCTTCCAAGAACTACAGGTATGCACTACCATGCCCAGCTAATTTTTTATTTATTTATTGTAGAGACAAGGTCTCGCCAAGTTGCCCAGACTGGTCTCAAATCCTTAGGTTCAGGCAACCCTCTCGCCTCCCAATCCCAAAGTGCTGGGATTACATGCATGAACCACCATGATCGACCTTGGAAGTAGTTTAGAAATGGAACCCATTGAGACTCCCTAAGCCCTTATTTTCCTCCTCCTTCTCCTTACTGATGTTCATTTCCAGGTTGCAGAGTAGACAGATGCCCTGGGAAGTTTTTAAAAAAACTCCTAGCTTTGGTTGTGCATGGTGGCTCAGGCCTGTAATCCCAGCACTTTGGGAGACTGAGGTAAGGGGATTGCCAGAGCCCTTGGGTTCGAGAACAACTGGACAACTTGGTGAGACCTCATCTCTACAATAAATTAAAAAAAAAAATTAGACAGGTGTGGTAGCGCATGCCTATACTTCCGGCTACTTGGAAGGTTGAGGCAGAAGGATCGCCTGAGCCCAGCAGGTCAACACTGCGGTGGCTGTGAGCATGCCACTGCACTCCAGCCTGATGATGGAGTGGGATTCCCCCAAAAAAAACCCCAAAACAAAAAAAACTCCTAGGCTTGAGTCTTATCCCAGAGAAACTAAACAAGAATCGATGTAGGTAGGGCCAGGATGTGGTGGCTCTCATTCATTATCCCAGCACTTTGGGAGGCCAAGATGGGAAGATCGCTTGAAGCCAGGAGGTCAAAACCAGCCTGGGCCATATAAGACCCTCATCTCTGTAAAAAAAAAAAAAAAAAAAAAAAAAAAAAATTATATATATAATGTATGTGTGTGTGTGTCCAAAGCCTACCTACAGATATATATGTGAGTGTATATAATAGCCAAAGCCTACCTACAAATACACATATTTAAATCTCCCCAGTGATTCTAATGTGAAGCTAAAATGAAACTTACTGCTGGAAAGCCCTGCTATCCACTAGCCACATATGGCTATTTAAATTTATATTTATATTAATTAAAATTAAAAGATCATTCCCTCAGTTACACGAATCACATTTTAGGTATTCAATAGCCACATGTGGCTACCATATTATACAACACAGATATAGAACATTTCTGTCATCACAGAAAGTTCTGTTGGACAGAGCTGATCTAATCTAATTTAGAGGTTCAGCCTGGGGTACCTTCTCCTCTTTCCTCCTTCCCAGTAGGTTACATAAGCAGCCATGCTTCATACATCACAAGCTTACATTTAACCACTTTTCAGACTTTCAAGGCAGTAGTAAGTCCACTATATGCCAGACTCTGTGCTGGACACTTTACATGTGCTCTCTATGTAATCTTCACAAGATAGGTTATTCTTTTCTGTATTTTACCACTAAGGAAACTGATGCTCAGAAAGGATGAGAGGCAAGCTAAGGTTACACAGCAGTCAAGTGGCAGAACTGAGATCCGGTGTTCTTAGCCCAATACCATGCCACCACCCTGTTATCAGAGCTTTTGGTAGAGAGTAGGGGACACTCCTAGCATTGCCCCTTCCCTACCCTCTCTAACCAGAGTGTGACAATATCAGTTTCTGTCTTTAGACCATGATATCCCATGCACACCGTCCAGTTGTAGTCCAGGTGTGAACACCCAACCAAAGCTGAGCCAATTCAACTCCCTCCCTGGGAATTTGAAACTGGAATTAATTGAGTGTGACTCATGTCTTGAATGGGGACAACTATCAGGTATTTACAAAACTAACACAATCCTCTGTTGAGAAACTAAAACCAATTTTTGAATCAGGTAATTAAGACTTTGAAAAAGCATAGATGACAATTGGCCACAGAGAAATTTGAAATCTATAAAATGCCTTGGTAGAACATGTTCTTGTTTCTAGCATTACCTGAGGCTCAGGTGCATGTCTTTCCTTGAGTTTGGTGAGAAATCCTTGAGTTTGGTGAGAAATCCTTGTTTCTTTTTAAATAAAGGTTTTAGCCAGGCTTGGTGGCTCAGCCTGTAAACCCAGAGCTTTGGGAGGCTGAGGTGAGTGGATTGCTTGAGCCCGCAGGTTCGAGACCAGCCCAGGCAACTTGGAAAGACATGATCTCTACAATAAATCAAAAAATTAGCCGGGCGTGGTAGCACACGCCTGTAGTTCCAGCAACTTGGAAGGCTGAGGCGTAAGGATCGCCAGAGCCCAGCAGGTTGAGGCTGCGGTGGCCGGGAGCATGCCACTGCACTCCAGTCTGGGTGACAGAGTGAGACTCCAACTCAAAAAATAAAGAAAGAAAGAAAGAGAGGTTTTTTCCCTTCAGCTAGTTAGAGTGAGTTTCTGGAGTTACAGTCAGAAATCCTAATATATGTGTTATAATTTTATGAATATTCTTATTCCACACTACAAATAGGTTAAACAACTGCTCTCGACTTGTCCATGTCACAGGTTTAGCTTTGCAACTCTAGGTTAGAAGGCCCACTATTGCTGCTTACTGTCTTTGTGTGCATACCCTTGTGGCTGCACATAGCCTGGTCCTTTGCACCTGCAGAGTAGGGGGGATGCATTCTGTGAGAACTTGTTAGATCTAACAGCATGTCAGTGACTGTGTCTGGGGGCAGTGGGTGTATTTCAGATAGGATGTTGCATCTGGAAAAAGATTAGAATCCAATGTGGACTATATCCTCTTTTCTCCAAAACACTCAGCTTCATCTTCAACCTCTCTTCTAAAGTGAGTTATATCAGGTGATGGGGTGCTTCTGTCAGGCAAAGGGGGAAAATAAAAAAGGTCTCTAAGGCATACCTTTCCATATGGAGGGAGTTATAATTCCATTGTTTCTGGAGCTTTCTGGTTAAACAAATATTCATGGAATACCTCCTATGTTTCAGGAGGTCTGGGGCCACAGAGATGAGTACAATCTGATCTTTGTCTGAGGATTTCACAACTTAGTGGAAGTCACAGGCACATAAATAACTGACTGCAAGTCACTGTAATAAGTGCTATTGTGGAACAGGAGCACAGAGGAGGAAGGTGGCAGACTTCTCAAAGGACATGCTATTTGAATTGAGTTTTGCTTTTTGAGGAACATGAGCCAAAGTTTTATTTGTTCCTTTCTTGCACTTGATGTACTCTTCAATGACATCCTTGGCCTGAGATTATTTGCCATAGTCCTTAACTACACAACTGTAACCAACCACTTTATAGGGTTTTCCCTCTCTGTCAATTTTACACAGGCCTACCAGTTCCCCTAGTTTCTTGTTATCATCAACCTTAATTATGTTGATTTGGTGTCCAGCACAAAGGGACTCCTCCAACTTGATGTACATAGGCTCATCACAGTTGGATGCAAGCACACTGAGATGGGCCTGGCGCTTGTCTAAGGCTTTGGCATCCTCGTGAATTCATGCACTAGGCTGTCATGAATGAGGGCAGTCTTCACCTCTTGTAAAGCAGTGTCCCCATCCATTACACCTCCAGTAGTGATGCCTTCCTCAGCCATGGTGGTGGATTACGGGAGACTGGATCTTGAACGCACCTGCGTCTCCACCTCTGTGCAACTCCAAGCAGCAGGGCAAGAATAAGCTGAGTTTTGAAGGATGAAAGCAGATAAGGATGGGGATTGGCAAAATCTAGGAAATCCAGGGTGGCAGTCTGTTCTCCAGTGTGTTTTTTTTTCTCTTTCTCCGTGCCACTGGAGTTTCAACTGGACACAAGGGAGCACAGCTAAAGCCTACATTTCCCTGCTTTCCTGGCTGCTGGGTATAGGTATGTGATTGATTCAGTCCTGGCTCATGGGATATTAGCATTCCTGGGTCTGCTCTTTTTTTTTTTGGAGTCGGAGTCTCACTCTCTCATCCAGGCTGGAGTGCGGCGGCACGCTCACGGCCGCCCCAGCATCGACCTGGTGGGCTCAGGTGATCCTTCTGCCTCAGTCTTCCAAGTAGCTGGCACTACAGGTATGTGCTACCACGCCTGGCTAATTTTGTGATTTATTGTAGAGATGAGGTCTCGTCAAGTTTCCGGTAGTTCTTGCTCTTAATGAATGCCTAGATATATGTGTATGTGTACAAATTACCAAAGACCATCAGCGATGAATAAGCTTCTGCCTATTATCTGACAACCTAAAGAGAGAAGACAGAAGAAGAGGTGGGTCTCACACCAAGCTGAGGATGGAGTCCGCCCATAGCTTTTGATGGCAGAAACACACTTGCTCCTAAGACCAGGTGATATGTATAGACTGCCTGGCCAAACTTCTCGATTAAAAGGAAGTGCCATGCTCTCCTATATCAGCGTCTTCCTATATTCTATCTCTAGCTGGACCTGTTCCCCTCAGGTCTCTAATTAAACATGCTTTCTTTCAGGAAGTCTGGTCTGATCTCCCCAGAAAAGCTAGATCCACCAGTTACATGGTCTCATTGCACTTTGCACTTCTCTGTGGAAATACTACATCAACCACTATATCAAACATTAATTCTCAATTTTTTTTTTTGAGTTGGACTCTCACTCTGTTGTCCAGGCTGGAGTGCAGTGGCAGGCTCACAGCCACCACAGCCTTAACCTGTTGGACTCAAGTGATCCTTCCACCTCAGCCTTCCAAGTAGCTGGAACCACAGGCACACACTACCACTCCTGCTATATTTTTATTTATTGTAGAGACGAGGTCTCACCAAGTTGCCCAGGCTGGTCTTGAACGCCTGGGCTCAGGCAATTCTCTCACCTCAGCCTCCCAAAGTGCTAGGATTATAGGCGTGAGCCACAGTGCCTGACTAATTCTCAACTTTCTTAATAGGCTGTAAGCTCCATGGGTACAGAATAATATTTTTCATTTTTAATACCAGATCCCTAGTCCCTAATACTCTTCCCTGCTCCACAGGTATCAATTCCAAAAGCAACCTAGCACTCTTAAAAAATATTTGGGGAAGAGGGGGAGGAAGGAATGTAAGAAAGAAGAAAGGAAGGAATAAATGAACAAAGGAACAAACTAATAACAGATGATCAAAATCTCCATGAAAAGCTTCTCTTAAAAAAGAAGAAAACAGGAGACAGATCCACCCATCACCTCACTAGGCAAGAAATCTGGAACTCAGGCAAACCACCAAAGAGTAACAACATCTCAGTGTGTGAGTAACATGTAATGAGCCTGTATAGCTCACTGAAGCCATTTAAATTGGAAATACTGTATCCTTTATCATTTGTGTCTTCCTCCTTCTTGGTCTCCTGAATGATGGGTAATTTCTTCCTATATGAATATCTTAACTAGTTACCTGCTCAGGAGGCTGTACATATGGGAGCTTGAGGTTTGAACTTTGCATGACAGAAACTGTTCAACATTTAGCAGTGCTTAACAGGGTAATACGCTTTGAGGAAGTCACTTTGCCTCTCTGAATGTTGAAAGGAACTGATTGCCCTCAATAAAACAAAAAAGATTTCTGAGGCTTGAGCTCCAGAAGACAGTCTGCATGTGAGATGGGGAGGTCTACACAAGAGGCCTCCATTTCCTGGCACAAAATTCTTGTCTGCTACTTTGAGGTGTTTGGTACTTCACTCTAACCAGTCCAAGATGTGATGATTCTCCTTTAAAACCAGGGCTAGTAACAGACTAGAAGCCTCTTCCCCTGTGTCCAACTTAGCAAAACTGAGACAGGGTGACATTGAAAGATAACAACACAAGGGAAAAAAAGCCTTATTTCAAAACTTGTTTGTTTGTTTTTTTTAGTTGGAGTCTCACGCCCCAGGCTGGAGTGCAGTAGCAAACTCACGGTCTCCCCAGCTTTGGTCTGCTGGGTTCCAGCGATCCTTCTGCTTCAGCCTTCCAAGTAGCCAGAACTACAGGCACACGTTACCACGCCCAGCTAATTTTTGATTCACTGTAGAGACAAGGTCTCACCAAGTTGCCCAGGCTAGTCTTGAACCCACGGCTTAGGCAATCCACCCGCCTCGGCCTCCCAAAGTGCTGGGATTACAGGCTGAGCCACCAAGGCCTGCCTCAAACCTTGAAAGCAAGGAAAAAAATCAAAATTGTCTAATTTCTGACTCAGGCTTTTGATGCTAAGTATACTAGGAAAAGCTACACCAAGGGGCAGCCCCCCCTTCACAGAGAAGTGGTCTTATACAAGTTCACAGTATATCTATCATATGTAAGATACCATAACCATATGATAATCGCAATGTGCTTCCAGCAATTGAGTGCCATACATACAGAAGAGGGGACACTTCTGCTGGTCTCAATTCCCTCCTCTGAACAGAGTCGCTATAAGGGGCAAAAAACATATGGATCTCATGGATGGGTGAATTTCCTAAATTGTCTTCATTTTAAGCATGGAACTTGCAGGTGGCAACAATTATGGCAATAGTTACATGCATGTGTGTTTACTGTATTTGTTTACAAATAATAGCATTTATTTACACTTTCAGTTCACTCATAAATGAAATAAGATGTCTCCCCACAAAATGCCTCCCCTCATAGTTCACTCAACCCAGGAACTCTTAGTTCAGACATAATTAAAACAAATATACACAACTTTAGATTCTATATATTAATACATAAATGTGTATTATTACTATCAGTAGTTGTTGTACCATCATCATCATCATCATCAAACTTTTTTTTCCATTGTGTGGTTGGCAGTCTTATCTGGTTTCTTTTTTTTTTCCTCTTGGAATTAAAGTCTTCTGATTACCATCTTACTATGCTCCCCTGGTCTCAAGAAAGATGACAGTGGAGGAGTGGGTGGTACGAGTGCCACTAAAGCAATATTTAAAAGAACACACAATTGCCTATAAAATGTGCAGCACAGAGCCCCATGATATTTTTTCAGAAGACATCAATAGTCAATACTCACATCCAGGTTGACTGGGAATACACTGATCCTGACTAAGACCATTTCTGCCAATGAGAGGTGATGTCTTCACCAAATCCTAAATGAGACATAGGGGTATGCTATTCTTGTCTCCTTGTTGGGCCCTCAGACTTATAGTACTGCACTTGACTTCCTGGTCTGCAAGAATCTCCATAGAATGACCAGGGATGAAAAGTGGACAAGGGGTATTCTCTCTCCCTACTGGGCTACTCAGGTATCTCAAACACAAAGTGGGCTGTTTCCTTGATGCCCTGGCAGGGAGCAGTGATTATGGAAAACCCCTTGTTTCTGGCATTGTTCGCTGCACATCATGGTTGGTGCTTAGCAAATGTTGAATGCATATGAAACAAATTAATCTTGTTGAAATGCTGTTTTCCAAATCTTACTCAGATATTGCAGCAACTTAGGTAAGACACACTGGTGTGTGTGTGGTGGTGGAGGGTGTCATTTAGGGTTAAGGTTCACCAAGCACTCACTCCCAGCTGCAAGTGCACACACAACATTCTAAGAAGATGCTTCAAGATCTGGTTTCCTCTTGGCAAAAGCCAAGAAAGAGGAAGCAAACCACTCTTAGAAAAATCTGTCTTGGTTGGTTTGACTTGCCACATCCTTCCCTCAACAGAAAGGGACATGAAATGGAAGGGAACACACTACTAAAAGAGAATTGTGGGCTGGGGAAATTCTGGGCAATGAACAGAGTAGCTTACCGGCCGGTGAGTAACAGGGAAAGGCGGTTGATGGGTGTTTCACCCTCCACAGCATATGTCTGTTCAGTGGCCAGAGTCAAGACCTGCCCTTCGCAGCAGTGAACAATCTCCTTGTATGTCTGCAGGGGGACCTGCAGGGGCAGGTACAGCGTCTTGTAGAGGAGGTCAAACTCCTCAGGGAGGGTATCCTTGCGCAGGCGGTATACCAGGTGTGCCAGCTGAAGCAGGCAGGCCACTGCCAGCAGGAAGCTCCAAAGGACAATGTCCAGGCCACAGGCATTGAACCAGCCCCACAGCACACAGCACAGGTAGCCTGTGCCCAGGAAGCCAAAAAGGTAGAAGCATCCATATACCCCGCTGCCCCCCATGAAGCCCAGGAGCAAGAAGCAATTGGCCAGGTGGTAGACAGCCCCTTCCAGATCCTGCTTCCAGCCAACACACACTGGCCCCTGCCAGAGGGGGTGACCCACTATGCTGCTGGTGGCGCTCATCTTTGGGGAGTCTCAAAGCCTTGCTGGGCTCGAATACCGTCTCCACACAGGAAACTCAGTGAGTAAATCTCCTCCCAGGGGTCCTCTCACCTCCGGCTTCTCACCACCAGCTCCACCTTTCCTGGGAGTGGTGCTTCCAGTCGCTTTGGAAATGAATGGCAGAACATAGTACACTTCATGGAAAATTCACAAACTTTTTTCCTCTTTCTTTCTCTCTCAGCAAGGCTCTGGCTCTCCCTGCAGAGCTCTGGCGAGCTTCCGTGGTTCCACGTTTCTTAGGACAGTCCTCAAATCTGGTTCTTAGCCAAAAACCTAAATTGTCCCGAGGGAAAGGTAGGACTGTTGGACTGAAAACTTCAGCAGTGTAGGAAGAAGTAGCCACATCCTGCTCTCTGTTGTTCCCAAGCAGAATGAGTTGAGCCAGCATGGGAGGCACACTTGTGTTCCATTTGGAATGTGTTCTCTCTTGGCACCGGAAGAAAGGGTGACCCCAGATGGATACCATGTTTGGAATTGGAATCCAAGAGGTACTGGCAGTGAGAAAAAACAGGCCAGGCACACAAGCAGGCTGGCAGAGCACTTAACATACCTCCCAGGGTACAAGATAAGACCTCGGGGCAGAAGCAGGCAAGGAGGGACAAAGGAAAAGGGAGCTGAGGATTTACCTCAACACCTCAGGCAGGGCACTACCCAGAGTGCTTTGGTGGGAGGGGAAGATGGCTGGGAGGGTACATCAAAGTCGTAAAGTATGGGACTATTATCAGAAAAAATCCTTGCAGTGAAAAACCCCTTGAAAGCCTTTTTAAAGTCATACTGCAAATATCATTAGATATTTGACATTCACGTAACAAAAATAGTCATGTAAAGCAGTTTTTTAAATTCTAAACTAACTTTCCCTTGCATATATTTGGACTTAGTAATTGTTAATAAATGGTAGTACACTGCCCAGATTATCACCCCACCCACCCCAATATTTCCAAATTATATCTACCACCTACTAAACAGCCATAAAGTACCAGATCTAGATTAGGCATTTTACATACTTATAATTTAATAATCACAACAACCCTTCAAAATTAATATTATCCTCCTCCTAGATTTGGAAGAAACTGAGGGTCAGAGAGGGAACAAGTTCCAGGATTTGAACCCAAGCCTGTCAAATATAATACACTGCCCCAAGTAGTTTGCACAATAAGTGGAAGTACAGGACTAGATCCCTGACTCCCAACCCCACATTCCTCCTATGAAGTTTAACTTCCAAGGAACTTCTGGTTGAGACTGTGGATCTGCTGTGAGCTGCCAGGAGTTAAATCTGGAGTATGCAAACATTAAACTAAGAAATGTGGGCCGGCATGGTGGCTCAAGCCTGTAATCCTAGCACTGTGGGAGGCCGAGGTGAGAGGATTGCCTGAGCCCAGGGGTTCGAGACCAGCCTGGGCAACTCGGTGAGACCTCGTCTCTACACTATATCAAAAAAATTAGCCAGGCATATTTCCAGTGCTTGTAGTTCCAGCTACTTGGAAGGCTGAGGCAGAAGGATCACCTGAGCCCAGCAGACTGACGCTGGGGTGGCTGTGAGTGTGCCACTGCACTCCAGCCTGGGCGAGAGTGAGACTCTGACTCCAAAAAAAAGGAAAGAAAGAAAAGAAAAGAAATGTGACTCTGGTTTCCAAAGGACTCCTTGTTGCCGAGTTAGCACTTACTACCATTACTCTTGTTGCCCCTGAGGTGCAGGTAGGGCGCTCAGTAACCTTCCAGAACTATCCAAATGCTCAATCCACAGGAACTTTCATGATACTGCTATCAACTAACTACAATTCATGAGAAATTAGAAATTGCCCAATATGCTCAGGCGTAGTAGTTTCCAACTCAACAAATTTTTTTTTGAGGGTCCACTATATGAGGTAAGCGAAACATTCTCTGGGAGAAAGAGACCTCAAAAAAACCAATGGCAATTCAGTGTGTGAAGCACAATAACCAAGGTGAGTCTGAAGAGCGGTGGCAGCCTAGAAAGAAAGGTGGCATCGGGGAGAAGAGATATAAGAGGAGCTGGCAACTGGTAGAATTCACCAGGTAGGCAGAACAAGAGCAGCAGCAGCACAGGCAGAAGTGTGAAAATGGCATGCTGAAGGAAGCCAGTTTTTAAAATTTGATTAAAACTGACTGACTGGCAAATGTGTTCCCTTATTTTCCAAACTTAAGAGGGAAAAACGATCAGTGGTGAGAGAAAAGTTAGAGAGCCTGGAGAGGAAATGCCCTCCAGGTCCCTGCACAGCCACAACGGGGACCCTGATGTCATTTGAGCAGTGGCGCTGGGGGGTTTCCACATGCTGTTTTTATGACCCTCGCCTGCCTCCCAACCAACCCACCTACTTCCACAAGCAGCAGCTGCCCATCCTTCCACCTGAGTCATGCAGCCCCTGAGCTTCCAGAGTAGCTGTCCCTGCCAGCTGTGAGCAGGGAAGACAGAAAGAGAAGCAACCAATGTCCTGCTCAAGATAGGATTTCAAAGCAGCTCATCTTTCTTAGTATGGTTGGCCTTGACCCTTTAAAGAGACAGGCAGATCCATTCACTCTATAGTTCACTTGCCCTGCTGCCCTGTCAATCCACATATGTGCTTTCTCAGCAGAAGGTATTTTTCTCAAGCAGTTATTGTTTTCTCATGTCATCCTATGATACGTACTTTTTAAAATAGAAGAAGTAGGCTCAGAGAGGCTAAGAAACCTGCCCAAGGTCATGGGGTAGTATGTGAATAGGGATTAGAGTCTAGGTTCGTGTGACTCTAAATTGCATATTCTCTGTACTATACCATCATACTAGGTACTTTTAGTTTATACATATCCACATACAGGCTCAATTATTGCCACAGGGGATTTGAGTATGCTGCCAGAGTGGCATACATGTCAGAGAATCACAGGTGCACTGACCTCACATGTGGCATGCAGTGATAGTGACACTAATACCTACAGGATAGCACCGGTGGTCAGAATACAACAATGAAAAGTTGTCTCTTATTTATTTTAAAATCCAGATTTGATAGAAGAGGAAAGAGGTATTGTTTTTCAAAATGGTATGCTTTTATAAAGAAATTCACAAGCATGAAGGCAGAACCACAGTAGAAAATATCTGGGAAAGAAAAAAAAGAAAGTAACACAAGTCTTCTCATTTGTCGAGTTTATTCAATTTAATAAGCATTTATTCAGGACAAATGACATGTTCTAGGAACAGCAGATATAAAGATGACCAAGACAATTATCACCTCCAAGAAACTTTTGACCCCCCCCCAAATTGCAATCCAATAAAATAAGTGTATCCAGGCTTCAAAGGAAAAACACTAATGGGGGAGCAAAGAATTCAATCCAATTCAATTCAATGCTATAACCTAACTAACATTTATCAGAAAAACATCACAGGGAAGGTGACATTTAAGCTGGTCCAAAAAGATGAGTAGGTGTTCCCCAGCTAGGGGAGAGCAATCCAGGAAGGGGGAACAGAATGTGTACTTAAGCCCAGAAGTGAAGCAAAAATGTCTGGCATATTTTGGTAACAGAGAACATTTTGTAGGTGAATCAAAAACGGCAGCAGGACACAAAGCAGGAGAGTCATGCTGGGGGCAGATTATGAAGTTAGCTGGCTAACAGTGTGGCCATCAAGTGTGGCCATGAACCCATCCTGGTCTTTGAACTGTTTGCTACTTGTCTATGCTTAGATAAGATCAGAAATTGAGAGTAAATGTTAAGAAATTTTTATAGCAAGTTGACAGAAACTTATGGCTTTTCAATTTAGTAACAAAAACTTTTGGCTTATAGAGCATCTTTTTTTAACTGTTTTTTTTTTTTTTTTTTTTAATTTCATTTTCCTAGTATTGGTCTGTAATGAATTGGAAAAAAAAAAAAAGCTAGTTCTTCACCACATATAGTTTGAGAAACACTGAGCATGAAGTTAATATTTTCCTAATATGGATAATAAAGTAGAACAGAGGCATGATTTTAGGCTTTGGCCACATACTGCCAAGTTGATCTTAAGCTACACTATTGGTTGTCTTCCAAAGGTACGTATTTCTCTTTTCTTTAGTTTATGGAACTCTGATTTTGCTTTGGCAATATGTTAAGCAAGGCGGGCTCCTCTTCTAGTTGCCAGGGTAGAAGCCAAGCACAACATCTTATTTGCCTCAATGGCGACTAGCGTGAGCAGGCGTGTGGCCAAAGACATCTAACAGGAAGTGTGTGGGGGCTTCTGGGGAAAAGTATACTCTCTGGTGGAGAGGAGGCCAGCTACCTTTTATCCAGACTTGAATACAGTTGTGTGACGATGTAATGCTTGAAGCTACCACAGTTAAGAGATATACCTAGGGATGAGAAGGATAAAGACCAGAAAAATGGAACAAGCACAGGTTCTTGAAAGCACATCTGAAACTCAAAACTTTTAATCTCTAGACTTCATGACAGGGGAGATAAGTTACTTTTCTGTATTACCTGTCAGTCTAGTTGGACTCTAGTACTTGCAGCTGAATGCACCCTAATTCAGATCTCCTTAGGATCTCCATAAGGACTACTCTTCAGGGAACAGTTCTCTGAACATCTGATTGTCTTATTCAATAAAAACTGAACACCAGACAATGTATTATGCTCTACCAATAATTTTCTCTCTAAACTGAGTAAATGAGAAGAATTGCCCCCATAAACTCAACTTACCCATTCAGGATGACTTGGTTATTAGGTGAACAAGATAGTGTAGTGTAAAACTGGTTGCCTAGTCAATATCCATTTACCTCTTCCTCCTTTGTAACAGAATTTCATTTTTGTCCAGATACCTAACCTACACATGGACCCAAGCGGAGGGACCTTGTTTAAGCCAATTAGCATAAAGTATCCCACAGACAATTATTGGTCCATAAAAATATTTATAACCTAATTTGGCTCAGACTAAAAAGAGAAACTAAGAGTCCATGCTTGGGGAATGGTTCTTCTCTCTTCAGCTGTACTTGAATAAGAAAGCACATGATTGGCTTCATCAGTCCTGGGAGAGAGACCCCTGAGATGAAAATAACTTGAGTCTTGAATGGCACCTTCAATGAGCCTATGATATTACTATTTCTTAGAGCTAATCTAACTCTGTACGTCCATTATATATTCGAGCTCTCCTTGATGAGGATTTTCTATTACTTGCTGTCAAAGCACCATAATTGACACAGGTGGAACTACCATCTAGCAGTTTTTAAAAGCTAAAAAAAGAAACGCTGGGTATAGTCACACGCATTCTTTTTAGGAAAGCATCTTGGAATATCCATCTCAGACATGAGCATTCAACTTTATATTTTATGGTTTATATACATATGCACACTAGACAATAAACTCTTTGAGGGCAGTCATGTCTTACTAATCTCTGTATACTACTTGGTACATAGCTGGCATATAGTATAACCTTAGTAAATGAGAAATCAAACAGTTTCTCATCTTGAAAACAGGATGTCTGACTCACACATAAATATGCAACACCTAGAGCTGTTCCTTACACATAATAGGCCTCCACTAAATATGTATTAAATGAATTTATACCTCTGAATACATTTACATTAGACACCTGGTACAGTGAAGAACATTGGATTTGAACTCTAATGACCTAGACTCACATTCCAGGCTACCAGTTATTTGATCAAGGTGATTTTCTGAACCTGAGTACTTGTATCACCTGTGAAGTAGGAATTATAGTTTCTTCATCCACCCTCAATTCACATCTGTGAAAGGCATAGTAATCCCAGGGTAGGCCTTACCTAGGGATATGGTCCTGGTTTTTCTTTTTTTTGTTGTTGTTGGAGTCTCACTCTGTCATCCAGACTGGGAGCGGCCACTGCAGCCTCGACCTGTTGGGCTCCGGCAATCCTTCCACCTCAGTCTTCTGAGTAGCCAGAATTACAGGCATACGCTACCATGACCAACTGATTTTTTGATTTATTGTAGAGAGGAGGTCTCGCCAAGTTGGCCAGGCGGGTCTTGAACCCACGGGCTCAGGCAATCCACTCACCTCAGCCTCCCAAAGTGCAGGATTACAGGCTGAGCCACTGAGCCCAGCTTGGTCCTGGTTTCAACAACCTTCAAGTCAAATATTTCAAGATTAGAGAAAGGGAACTAATTAGAGAGAATCGTGTGACTGTATGTGTGTTGAGTTTAGACATTATTGTGAATAGCAGGGGGTCAGCAAAAAGGTATGTTAGAATATGGATGTTGGTCCAGCATTTTGGAAGGCCGAGGCGAGAGGAATGCCTGAGTCTAGGGGCTTGAGACCAGCCTGGCAACTTGGTGAGACCTAGTCTCTACAATAAATAAAAAAAATTAGCCTGGCATGGTGGCATGCGCCTATAGTTCCAGCTACTTGGAAGACTGAGGCGGAAGGATTGCCTGAATCCAACAGGTCGAGGCTGCGGTGACCGTGAGCATGCCACTGCACTCCAACCTGGGCGACAAAGTGAGACTGACTCAAAAAAAATGTGGATGTCACCCCCAAGGGGGCCACATTCTTCATTTTTCAAACTACTGTGCTAACATCTCTTATTATTACTGAAATGCTGCCTATCATCTTTGGGAAGGCTTACGCACTAGGAAAGGATGGGCAGAAGGTTTTGTGAGACGTACTTTTAACTGTGGCTAAGGCCAAGAAAAGTGCTTTTAGTTCCTTTACAAACCTGAATGGCAAAAGTTTAAAAAAATTAATGTTGCTAAGAAATTAGAGAAATAGGTACTCTCAGATACTAAGGTGCAAATGGATACCCTCTCTAGAGATCAACCAGGCAATACGCATCCAAAGCCTTGAAAACATGCATAGCATGTGGCCCATCCTGAGTGATTAGTAGATGACACTTATAAAGACATTCCTATGGAGACTTCCACTGCGTTATTATAAAGTAACTAAAAGAAAAAAAAAGTACAAAGTGTGTATGCCAGAGAGAGAAAGGTGTATGAAAAGGTTGAAGAGTGGTCCCATTGTAGAATGGTGGGATTTCAGGTAATACCATCCTTATATGCTTCCATAACACCAACCAACAAAACAAAAAATCAAAATTTAGGTATCTGATATGTATTTTGTTCCACACTGAGATCCAGTTCCTAGAATAGCAACTGATGTATAGCAGATACCCTAAACATTTGTGTATTTTGTTTTGTCTTTTGTAGAGACAAGGTCTTGCTATGTTGCCCAGGCTGGTCTTGAACTCCTGGGCTAAAGCAATCCTCCTGCTTCAGCCTCCCAAAGTGCTGGGATTATAGGCATTAGCCACTGCACCCAGCCAAACATTTGTTTAATAAATGTTCCTTAGTTATCTCTTGTTCTTGAGATTTTTAAACTCAATGTACTTAAAGGTAGAATATGATCCATTATTTCATTAGCTCATAACTAGCTAACCAGCTAAGAGGATGACGAGGTTGCTATACTAAGCAAACTATACCCTCTATTCAACTCCAGATATCAGTAGGGCACAGCACTGAACTGTTTGATTAGACTTGCACCAATCCAGCCTGGTCAGCTTCTAATTAATACCAAACAACTGTCTGTCCCCTAGGCACTAAACTTATGATCTTAATCTATGCTAAAATGTAAGTAGCCATGTACAGATTAATGAAGCTAAACAATTTAGATCTTCCAGGCCAAATCACTCTAGTTTGGTCCAAAATCTAAACTAACTTTTCTGAAAGACAGCTACTAAAGAACAACAATAATGGTTTAAATATTAAGGCTACGGCCAGGCACAGTGGCTCACGCTTGTAATCCTAGCACCTTGGAAGGCTGAAGCAGGAGGATCACTTGAGCCCAGGAGTTTCAGACCAGCCTGGGCAACACAGTGAGACCTTGTTTCTACAAAAAGTTTTTAAAAATTAGGACTTAAAAGCTTGTTGAGTTCTTGCTTTTAAGAAAATTTTTTTAAAAATGAGTGCTGAATGAGATGATATGGCTACCACACTGATTCTGAATTGGTAAAGGGTTAGTCCTAATTTTGGAGATTTCATTGGTTGAGACCAGTATCTGCTTTCTCCTAAACAACAAATATTCAGAATTCCCAGAATAACACAGTAACAAGAACACAAGATACTTATGTTATGAAACCTGTTGATACATATCTTTTAAGAAAAAAAAAAGCCATGTGAGTATGTGAGGAACACAAAAAAGAAACACACTTGAAGATCTCTGACCAGCAATATCTTTCTTGTTTAATAAATTATAAATACTTTTTCACACTTATCAAAGTTCATCAAAGAACTCCCCAAATAATTTAATCTTCTTCATTCTTCAGGAATTATTTATTGACACAGCAGACCACCTATAGAAAAAGATTCATTTTAGAAAGTCAGATTTCAAACATCATGCCAGTTCTAAGGAGTTAGGGAATTAAGACCATCTAAAATAAATACCTACTTGAGTAATTAACTAACGGCCACAGTAATTCTAAGTCAGTCATGAAATAAAAGATTCACATTTTTAAATTCTAGGTTTGCCTAACTAAAAACTGTTAAAACAATAACACATTAACTGTTTATTATATTGCTTAAACTTTAAAAACTTCTGAAATAAAAATTATCTTTATGTATGTATGTATATATACCCTCTCTAGAGATCAACCAGGCAATACACATTCAAAGCCTTGAAAACATGCATAGACTGTGGCCCATCCTGAGTGATTAGTAAATGACACTTATAAAGACATTCCTATGGAGACTTCCATTGCAGCTTTATTATAAAGTAACCAAAAGCAAAAAAAGTACAAAGTAATTATACACACACATATACGCATGAGTGTGTGTATGTGTATTTCTCAAAAATATCTTCCAAAAAAGGATAAGGCAGTTTATTTTTATAGACATTCAAGAGAAGAGACTTGCAAACCTCTCTCTGCTGATTCAAGTATGTTTGGCAATGATCCACAAAGTGGAAGGCAGGTCAGCTCAGTATACAAGGCACTTCCTGTGGAAAGTTACTACTTAATCTCAAGGGCAAAAATAAAAAAGGAGAGTAGCAGATTGACTGGGTTGCTGGTGTAGTCAGAACCAGGTTTCTCACTCCCATCCCAGTCCCTAAGCCAGAAGACAGAAAACAGTGCAAAAAAGGTAAACTGGGCTAGCCCACTCTTCAAGTCTAATGTGTGTATTTCCCTCATCTAGCTGTTCCCTTCATTTGGTTTAGATAAAAAGATAAACCATTATCAACATACAAACTTCTAAACAGTCACTTTTCTAAAAGGCTCAAAGGAAGAATACACCTAAGGAAAAGTTTGAGCACCAAGAATAACCAAAAATGAAACCATTCAACCTTTCTTTTTTTTATTGAGTTGGAGTCTCACTCTGTCGTCCTGGACCTGCTGGACTCCGGCGATCCTTCTGCTCAACCTTCCAAGTAGCGGGAACTACAGATGCATGCTACCATGCCCGACTAATTTTTTGATTTATTGTAGAGATGAGGTCTCGCCTGCCCAGGTGGGTCTCGAACCCGCGGGCTCAGGCAATCCACTCACCTCAGCCTCCCAAAGGCGCAGGATTATAGGCTGAGCCACCGAGCCCAGTTCCCATTCAACCTTTCAATGATAGCAGACCAAAGCATCACTACCTCTTTTGCTACATATCAGAAGGAGCTACCCAGTAAAAGACACTGGATACAAACCTCTTTGATTATACCTTTAGGTGTAAAGTCCTTGATAGGAGGGACCACCTTTTTTATCCTAGCATTTTCTAGAGTCTTAATAATTAGCTACTGAATGAATAAATGTTTAAATAGCAGAAATGACCCTTTTTCTGGATTATCTCAGGATTACATTTGCATACACAGTTGTATATGTGTGCAAAATCAGTCTATTTTAAGCACCCCACTATTAAGTTGTTAAACTTAATAAATACTGAGTATCACCACTACTCAGTGCTAGTCTCTTAATGTCTTTCAACGACTTTATCCTCCAAAGTGGGTTCTCCAGGTTTCTTCTGACAGAGAGGTGCCCATTTCTTCCTTATGTTTCTAATTTCTAGTTTCTTCTACTTTCTCTCTTGTACAGTTTTTTAAAAAGTCATAAAATAGAAAAAAATGGTCTATAATCACCACCATCATATCTATTTTTTAATAGTTTTCAAATCTCTATCATTGCTATTATGAAATCATTATATAATTTATACTTAAGCATTATCCCTGCTACGACTTCTTCAGCCTAGGCTGGTGATTGTTAAAGAGGAGTGAGCTTGAAAATCATCAGGAAGTTTCTGAGTCAACAGGTGCTGACTGGGGCCCAGGTTGTGAATTTTAGAAAACTATCCTCAGGTGACTCTGGGGTGCTCCTCTGGGTAAGAACCACTGGGTGAATGCAGCCTACTTTGATAATAAGTATAAAAGATATGTATGTAATAGATTTCTTTCTTTCTTTCTTTTTTTGAGTTGGAGTCTCACTCTGTAACCCAGACTGGAGTGCAGTGGCACGCTCCCAGCCACCGCAGCCTCGACCTGCTGGGCTCCAGTGATCCTTCTGCCTCAGCCTTCCAGGTAGCTGGAACTACAGGTGCGCGCTACCACGCCCGGCTAATTTTTTTGATTTATTGTAGAGATGAGGTCTCACCAAGTTGCCCAGGTGGGTCTCAAACCTGTGGGCTCAGGTAATTCACTCACTTCAGCCTCCCAAAGCGCGGGATTACAGGCTGAGCCACAGAGCAACAGATTTACTTATAATCTATTATATTCAAGGTACAATTAAGACCTAGCTTACTTAGGAATAACATTAAAATCTATGAAAGTTTTTGAACTAAGAAATTTTCATGATCATTGCTGGGAAGATTTAAGTTCACAAAATATTTTTCCCTCTGAGGCTATTCAAAGTAAAATGTGGTCTAATAGTCCAAGAAATACCAATTTGGTTTTTATCTTATAGTAGCACAGTTGTGTTGGGTTTTATCTTATAGCCAATAGCCTGGTTACTGAACAATATGCACTTATGCATTTTAGTAATAGATCTTTCTAATTAGCATTCATAATAAAGTTTTAAGATTGGAGATTAAGATGCAATCCCAAAAATGAATATATTGCAATAAAATCTCATTAAGTGCAAGGAGTAAAGGGCCTGTGATTTGGAGAATATAAAAGATCTAGACTATAGTTTTAATTCCACCACTACCCACTCTCAACTTGAACAAGCCTTTTTTGACTTCACTGTGCCTCTATTTCCCCCATGGAAGTTGGGGAAATAGGATACCTTGGACCAATGGGAATCCAAATACTCAGTTTCTTTTCCAAAAGTATTATTAAACTGAAAATAAAAATATGGTAGTTTGAATTCTTAAAAAGGTCCCATATGAATTCAGATTGTTCTTATAACCAGGATTAAAAAACACATAATCAAGTCACATATTCAACAAACTTCAATTGAATGTCTGCTCTCTACAATCCCAAGGTATGACTATTCAGTTCTGATTTTTATTTTATGGTTTATAAAGCATACACATTCATATATCATTTAATCATCACCACAACTCTGAAGTTGTCTGGATATGTAATGTCATCTCTATTTCACAGATAACTAAACTAAGGTCCAGAAAGTTAAGAACCTGCCAAGGTCACACAACCAGTTAAACATTAGGTTTTCTAAGTCCAAAGTTTTTGCATTTTCTCTTATACACAAATGAAGTGCCTTTAAAAATAATAGGTATACTTACACTTTTAAGAACATACTCCCCTCCAAATTTACTTATTTTACTAAATGGTTCATTATGGGATTCTTTAAATAACCATCCAGTCTAAAACCCACTTAAGTACACCATAAATACACAATAGTAGATATGTCATACTATATACAGAATCACAAAATATATTATGGTTCTCTTTTTATAAATAGAAAAAGTGAAATCCAGAAAGGATTAATATCTTGAAAGTTAAATGCAGCTGTAATGAAAAACATGCTAACTAAACACCAAGAGACACAAAGTCTCAGAACTTTCAGCCTAGACTGTTTTTTTCTATATAGTAATACTTCTTATCAACTTGGGACAGGTTCTTTATCTCTCCTTTTTTTATAGCTCAGTGAGGAAGACTGACCATATGTGAAATTCCAAAGAGACAGAAAAGAAGTAAAAGGGAAAGAAGCCAGACCCTCTACTGATATCATATTGGAATGGAACTTTGGCATTATCTCTCTGCTATCATTAACAGTGGTGGTGTGTGGGGAAGTCAGGGGAGGGGCAGAAAGCAGAGGGAGTCTGCCTGGAGACCAAGGCTCTAGTTCTGATCCTGCTAAACCTACCATGGGAGTCATTTCATAACCATAAGCTTTAATTTCCTTATTTATTCATTCATTTAATTAATAATGCTCCACTGAGCACGTATTATGAGCCAGGCACTGTTACGTGTACTAGGGGTATGACAGTGAGTGAAACAGAAAATTCCTACTTTCTCAGAGTGTATGCTCTATTTGCAGTGAAGCAACACAGATAATTAAAAAATGTGTAATATGCAAGATTAGAGTACCCACTAGCCACATGTGGCTATTAAAATTTTCAGAAACGACAAATTCAGTACCACAATTCAAGTGCTCAACAGCCACATACTAGACTAGAGAGTACAGATACAGAGCATTTCCATCATCACAGAACATTCTATTGAACAGCACTGTGAAAGAGTGATGGGGAAGGGATGCTAGTTTACATGGGGTGTTCAGGGAAAGCCTCTCTAACAAGGAGGCTTTTTAATGGAGACCTGAATGAAGTCAAGGAATAAGCTAAGATGATAATTGGAGGAAGAGCTTCCAAACAAAAGGAAATCCTTTATTTGTGGGATTGTGGCATTAAAATTTGGACTCAAAGTTCTTCAAAAAATGGCTTGAAATTTTAGTTTTATTAGAATAAGACACAGTACAAAAGAAACAGAAACAATTCCATTTTCATTTTGCGGAAAGCAATACTTCCACATTAAAGCATTTACTGAAGATCCACAATTTTCGAAACAAAAAATAGAGTATTTTCCTTTTGGTTACTTTAGTCAGACAATGCTGAGCTTCCTACAGTCATGAGATCTCACTCTAACATAACTCTGAAGGTTCTGTCAAACCCTTTCTTGAAAGCTAAATTTTCCCCTCCCAAATCTGCCGGATACCTCTCAATTTATTAGCATCATTTACTCCCTACAATGGGAGCTGAAAATTGTTATTTTATTTTTACTGGCATTTAAGCATATGAGATTAACCAGGTGAACTACATTTTAGATAGAATGTTGCTCAATTGCTACTAAATCTGTAAAGCAATACACAACTTTGAAGCAATAAGCTCACCATTTCATATCTTAAATCCCAGGGCTCTCATGCACTCCTTGTGGGCCTCAATTAGATGTCCACAGTGTTCTTCTCCTTTTTCAATGATACTATAAAAGAAAATGTACTTGTTATCTAAATAGGCATTAAGCACATTAGTAAATAAGTATGCATGATAGTGATGGGGAGTGAGGTAGAACATGGGTATGATGGAATATAGTTAGTTAAAAAAAAATGCTATTACATCAAACACCTTTGTTTTTATCTGATCTTGTGATATTTCTATGTCTATGAAAATGTTCCACAGGTAATTTTGGGGGGAATCTGATTAGAAGAAATGATTATGCATGTCAAATATTGCCTTTAGTCTATATCCAAGAAATAACACTTCTATAATGAAATTAGCTAAATGAGTAAAATATTCATGCCAAATGAAGGACACAGAGAGTAGCTCAATGTGTTGCCTACTATCACAGAGGAATTACCTTTTTGACTCTGCCCTACATTCAGACCTAAATAAATTTACTGCCAATCACAAGACATGCAATAACATAAGCATCAAAAAAGATCTGGTAGCCAGAAGACCAAGATAAACTCCCATCAAGATAATCACATAATTTTTAACTTTAAAAATTCACAAAGTAAAGACCAGGACCAGACAGCTTAATTTCTAAGGACTTAAAATGTAAATTCAGTAAATAATTAAGTAAGCCAAATTTAATTACAAGAAAAAACTGACTCCTGACTATGGGTATATGGGGAGAAGCCATAGTGGTCTGAGGTACTTGACACAAAAGAAAATTAAAGAAGGGAACAGGTTCGTCTTCCATCAAAATCCTACACCTCCTTCAATAGGTCAAGGGCTGCCTGCAAATGGGGAAACTGCCTGGGACAGTGAGCTCCTTAAGAATAGCTAGATCGCTTGTTGCTACCGTGCCAGGCACTTGACCGTGGCTTATATAATTAAAGGCTTTACAATAATTCTGGAGGCAGATAATTTTATTAGGCCCAATTTACAGACATATGAGGCAGATGTGTTAAATAACTTGCTCAAGGTTGCCAAGTTGGTGGATCAAAATTCAAACTTTGATTTTGGATCCCAGGCTCAATATACTATACAAAGGTTCAATAGCACTTATTGCTACCATTGGGGCAATTTCTGTAGGAGACTGCAGTCTCAATTCTCCCTTCACAGAATTATTTACAAAATACTGAGTATTAATAAAAATACTGAGCTTCTATACTCTTATTATCCCATTACACCATCTATAATTTATCTACTTATATTCACTATTTCTCTACTTTGGGAGGACAAAAGGGGCTAGAGGGAGAGATACACAAACTCATTATCTCAGGATTCCTAATGAGACTTGCTCCACAATAGAGGCCATATATGGGGGGGCTCCCCACCAAAAAACCCAGAGTTATCTTTTGGAGGGTGGGCCCCTTGTAGTACACTCAGAATTTATTCTTCCGGATCAGTCACCAGAAGTTTTTATCTGAAAATTTTGAGAAGACTGCATCACAATTTGAGGAAGAAACGTCCTGAGTTGTGGCAAACAGGTGAGTGGTTCTTCCATCATGACAACGCACCTGCCCACACTGCACTGAGCGGTCAGAAGTTTTTGTCCCAAAACAGCAGAAGCGCTAAAGGCATCAAAACTGACGAGTTCAAAAACTTGAGCAGGCGGGGTTCAGTGGCTCAGCTTGTAATCCCAGCACTTTGGAAGGCCGAAGCGAGTGAGTTACCTGAGCCCACCAGTTCGAGACCAGCCCGGGCAACTTGGCGAGACCTCGTCTCTACAATAAAAATAAAAAAATAAAAAATTAGCCGGGCGTGGTAGCGCACGCCTGAAGTTCCGGCTACTTGGAAGACTGAGACTGAAGGATCGCCGGAGCCCAGCAGGTCGAGGCCGCGGTGGCCGGGAGCGGCCACTGCACTCCAGTCTGGGCGACGGAGTCTCCTAACTCAAGAAAAAAAAAATCGAGCAGTAGAAAAGCATCGCGATAGGTGTACTGCATCACAAGGAGAGTACTCTGAAGATGACTGAAGTTTAAACATATAAAAACACAATTTTTAAATAAACGAATTCCGGGTTTTGGGAGATCCCTCCTCGTAAAATGAGAACAAACCTTCTGTAGATTAATGATAACCTGGATGAAATACTATGTCACTTGCCTCACAGACTGAGTTGATCTTTAACTTTTGGATGCCTTAAAAGGGCTGAAGGGGAACTCTTCGGAACAGTGAGGAATGTACCCTGTGTCCTAAATTTTGGGAGAGGTCTTTAGAAATGACCAGAAGACCTCTACTCTCTGGTCTTGCCAAATCTTATCATACCCCTTCTTACCACTCGCTACTGAGGTCACTGGCACATGGTTCCATTAACTTCAAGCTCCTGTAAATCACTAGCATCTTTATCCACTTCTACGTATACGGACCTAACGCTGTGCTTAAGCCGTAACAGATGCTCAAAAACCACTTGTAGCAGGAAGGAGTGGTTCGAAATAGCCTCGGGCCCCACTGACCGCTCTCAGCTCCCTTCATGATAGCCAGGACGGAGCTACAGAACAAGTTAACAGAGAGGCGACCGCGAAACCTAGGAGGCCCCATAACTCTTCAAGAGCGCCGCGTGGCAAAGAGAGGGCAGAGGGCGGAGGCGCCGGAAGGCGCAGGCCCCGGCGCGCGAGGCCGACGGCCGCCCCTCCCCGGCTGCGCACTGACCACGCATCGCGCGCCTTCTTGGTCTCCGGGCACGCGCAGCAGGGCTTCAGCGGCTTCTTCTCCTGAGATTCAGAAGGGGCAGGGCTTGCGGCAGCCAGACCAGGCATCTTTCGCGCCAAAGAAGCAAGAAGCGCAGACACCCCACTATGCCAGCCTCCGCAAGCGCCGATTCGTCTGCAGTCACTTCCGGCGGCCTCTCTAAAGAGGCCAGGAAGTTCGGTCGCTCGCAGGCGGGCGGGGGCCAAAAAGAGCGCGTGCGCCGAAGGGGCGTTTGGCCTCTTTAGCGCATGCGCAAGGATGCCGGCTGAAAGGTCACCTCTTTTGCAAAGCGATTTTGAGGGAAGAAAGCCGGGTAACAGAGATCTGGCAACTCCTCCAACCCCTCTTTCATGAATATCGAAAGGGAAGCCTAAGAAGGTGAAACGCCCTGTTCTAGCTGAACCAGAGAACCACTAGAGAAAGCCAGTTCTCTTGAATGATGGACTCTTTCCTCTTTTACACTCGGTGGTATTATCTGCTGTCTTCCTGGCCCCACCTTTTGCAGGCCTTTCCTGCCTTTCACCTAGTAAAACAAGTAACAAAGATATTTGAACGATACAGTTCACAAGTGTTGGGCGGGAATAAGGGTCCTCTGCCCCTCTCATACACATTAAATCCTCAGCTAATGTGCGTTTATAGCCCCCCCAACTGTTTTACTTTAGTATAAATTACTCAATCTTATTTCCTAATATGCAGGTGAATAAAACAAAAATACTTTTTCCTTTGCATTTCTTGAGTTCATTTAAGTAGATAATGTAACTTGCATTAAAATGAACATAATCTTCGGATTTTTTCTTGTAGAGAATTGCTGGAAACAGGGATTACACTCATTTTTTTTTTTTTTTTTTTTT